TTGGTCATAACGCGCCCAGTTTAACTTTGCAAGTCGAAATAGTTGAGGTATCTAACGTAATATTATAATGCACATTTTTGTTTGTTTTGGTAAGAGTTTTACGGCACTTGCAACTCAATAAGATCACCTAAGTGCCGAAGATTAGAGTTGTTACTAGAGAGTAAAAAAAACTCCAAAAAAAAAAAAGAGGAGAGATCAGTTTAGTTTTAGTAAGTGTTACGGCCCTTGCATCACAATTAGGTCATGTAAGTGCAGGAGATTAGAGGTGCGACAAGACAGTAAAAACGCAAAAGATCAGAAACGATCAGGAAGATACGAATAGATGTTTGATAGGAAAGATGGAGTAAACCACACCAGAGTATACGCCAACCATTGCATTTAAAATTTAATAGAAAGAATAGCAATATACTTTTTAAAACAATGGTCCAATACCATGGTAGGAGAACAAAACATTATGCAGGGCATACAGACAGTTTACACCGTCGAAGACACATCGCTACCTTAGAATTACAAAGTCTTATCTGCCAATTTTGGCCCTTTTAAGTTACAAAAACCATGAGGTCTGATACCAAATAATGTTCTATCTGCTCTATCAAATTCATCAGAGATTATTCGAGGTCGTTATCAAGATATTCAAAAAATTGTTTAAAATTCATTCGAAAAAGCTTTAAATTACACTAAATATTCTGGATGGAGAGCCAGAGGAAGACCAGGGCGACGATGGAGTGAATCTGTTGCAGACACCCTCAGAGCTCACGGGATGTCCCTCCTACAGTGCTGCAGACAGACGCATGTGTCTCCCTGCGACACCTCCCGGTACAAGCGGAAGACAAAAGTAAAAGTAAAGTAAATAAAAGAAAAAGCTTGACATGTTGTGAAGCAACATAAAGTCGAATTTCTCAAAAACAGGAACTGGGCACATAGAACTTTGTAATTTTAAGGTAGCGAGGTGAAGGGCAACGCTTTTGGCCTCAGGTTTGGTTGTTTTGCTTTGGTAAACGTTTTACAGAGCTCGATGCTGCGTAAGGTCGCAGGTTTGAATATTAATAGAGGCTCGCACATCACACAGTTTCTTTACAATCCATTAATTTCAATGCGATGGCCTTGACAGATCCAGCGTGGCGCAATATGAGCTCTGATTAATTTTATCAGATAATGATTATGAGCTGGAACATGTCCGAGTATGAGCCATATCGTATTCCAAATACGACGTAGTCAGAAATGGTCGTAAATTATTCGCTACCTTAGAATTACGAAGTTCTATCGGACATTTTTGGTCGTTATGAGTTACTAAGACAATGAGGTCAGAAACCAAATGTGAGGCAGCGTGGTGGAATCAGGCTCTCGTCAAAATAATCAAAGTGAAGAAACTTGCGTTTTTCTGTTGGTTTGTGAATTTTTATCAATTTTTTTTTTTTGGTCACTTCCTTTCATGCCCATTATAGAACTTATTTCTGCTTGGATTTTTCTGAAAAATGTCGATTAAAGGCGCAAAAAATGAAAATTTTCAGTTACCGCGGACTCTTAAGCAAAGGAAATAACTAATCTTTGGCGGCCATTTTCTCATTAATTTTACCTCTGAAAACAGGTGACCCCCACTTTCTTCTTTCGCAAATATCTCGACACGTATTCAATATAAATGGATATTTTTTCATCCAAATAAAGACAATTAAACATGCTTTAAGATGATACCAATAACTCTATATGCCCCAAAATTGATGAGAGCCTGATTCCACCACGCTGCCTCACAAATGTCCTATCTGCTCTATGGAAATCACAACTTTTTTTTGGCAAGTGATTCACGTCGCACGCTTTCAACTGCATAAGGACACATTAAACTTAAACATTTTCAGTTGGTAGGAAATTTTGTATTTTGCCTGGATGTCGGCCGAGGCCTACTCTTATCTGTTTTGGACCACCAAGGTATATTTAACGTGTGCAACTTTTAGCCCTTATACGAGAAGGCCCGATGTTAAATCTTTCCTACCATTAGCTCAGGGGTATGACTGAAAGACACCAGTAAAATAAGCTAAAGAGTAGGAGTAGAAAGGCTGCAGAAAGAGTCAGGAACCCAGAGGAGGGGAAAAGAAGGTGAGGGGGTGGGGGCAGAACGTTGAGACGAAAGTAGTCGACAGAACATCGCAGTCCCAATTCGAATCTGGGGCCTATTCAATGAGAGACAAACGCCGTATCTTCTCGACCACGAGAGCCCCTTCGGAGTCGTTATCAAGATTATCAAAGAATTGCATTCGAAAAAGCTTAATATGTGAAACTCAAAATTTTTAAATGTCAAATTTCTCAAAACTAGGTACTGAGCAGATAGAACTTTGTCATCCTCAGGAAGCATTTTGTCAACGTTTTACGACCTCATGGACTCAATTTGTACCACTGTGATGTGTGTGTTTGTGTGTGTGTGTGAGGGGGGGGGGGGTTGCTTGGACCCTCCCTTTTTAGGCAAAAACTTTGTGCGCTATTACGCACCCATCGACACTATTTAGATTTTTAATTTTTAAGTAAGCGGGCTTCTGATCCTGTCCGTCACTGTCAGGGCCAGTCCGGGCTGAGATGGATACATCCTTGAAAAAAAACCCCAACAACACCCCCCGCCCCCTAAGAAATAAACCCCAAGATACTGAATAGATAATTGTGAAATGGTGAAATGAAATACGTTTTTAAACCCCTATCAACACTGTTAGGTTATTTAAGAGGCAGGACCTCTGTTAACGCCCATCTCCAAAAGGACCGAGCCAAGTGGGAAACTCGTGTAAAGTGCCTTTCCCAAGGACACAACGTCGGGCCGAGCTGAGGCTTGAACCCCCGAACCCGCAATCTCACGGGTACGAGTCCAGTGGCCTACCCACAAAGCCACCGATGCCACTATGAATAAACAATTGTCTTCCCACTCGGGAATCGAACTCGGGTTTCTTGTGTGTGACAGCGAAGCGCCTTACCGCGGGACCAAAGACACCGCTGCTCGACCCTCATTGTCAATGCCAATTTTTAAAATTAGAGTCTTACGACGCACTTGCAACACACTAAGGTCATATATATAAGTGCCGAAGATTGGAGTGGTTACAAGAGAGTAACAAAACCCCAAAAAAGAAAGTTAGATAGAGACAAAAATCACAATAGATGTTTTACGGGAAAGAATGAGCAAACCACAACAGAGCACATGCCAACCACCGACAGTGCCAAACTGTGCTAAGCAGAACAGAGCATCATAGAATGAGACATATAATATATATATATATATATATATATCTATCATCCTCATATATTAGACATATATATATATATATATATATATATATATTATATAACGATTAAAAAACAGTTTTAGTAAGAGTTTTACGGTACTTGCAAATAATGTTTAGTTCTTTAAGTGCCAAAGGCTACAGGTTTTCCAAGAAAGTAAATAACAAACAGTGAAAAAGAGTAGGAGAGGAAAGGAAGCTAGCTGTTTGAAACGAAAGAAAGCCTATCTCACTGAAGCACCCATCAACCACCCACCCTCGAAACAACAATGGGAGTCCTATGTTTGGTGCGTCAGAGCGAAGACCCTAAAAATTTCAACATAACGCCAGCTATTTAAAATGTTAATGCTTTACAAATTACACAATTCAAACTGAAGTCTGGGTGACAAATATGCGCTTTGCTGACACGTAGGAGATCTGGGTTCGAATTCCATTTTGGGAGACTGTTTATCATGCCTCTCAATCTGTCTTCAAGGAGCTTATATCTGCCAGCTTATATCTGCCTCCTAAATGATCTTACATATGTGGATTTGGGGGTGGGGGGGGGGATTGTAAAATATCTGCATAAAAATATCACGAAGGAGGTAGGCAAACTCTTTGAGAAGGACGGGCATGATATTTGAGATACTCGACAAAAATATGGTACCTTACGCGAAAACAGAGTCCTCGGTTCAGTTTAAGTAAAAGTTTTACAGCATTTACAACACAATTAAGTCATATAATGGCCGAAGATTAAGTGTTTGTTTTACACAATAAGGTTACATAAGTACCCATGGTTAGGTGTGTTACAAGAGAGTAACAAACACCAAACAAGCAGAGATAAGGACAATAGATGTTTTGATAGGAAAGAAGAAGCAAACCACATTAGATCACCAACCATTACAGACTGCTTGTTCTGGTATGTATTTTGCGGCGCTCGCGACTGCATAAGGTCATATGAGTGTGCGGACCATATTCAACATTTTTGGTTTGGTGGGAATTAATTTTGACATTTGCCTGGGTGGTGGCCAAAGCCTCCTCTTATCGATTTTAGGACCACCAAGGCATCTTTTACGTGCATAACTTACACATGAAACCTAGGAAATTTTTCATCCTTATCCGAGAGGACCAGGAGTTTGATCTTTCCAAACCTATGATAAGAGGTTTGGCTGAAAGACAGCAGAAAGAAGGAACAAGGAGTAGCAGTAGAAAGAGGTCAGACATGATGTCACTCATTCAAGATTGAGAAAAAGGAGATACTCGATAAAAATGTTGTTCTTTTTGTGGGAATCGTACCTTCACCTTTAGTGTTCCTTGATGAAAAGCTTCACTATCCTCACTATCTCCACAGACTGCAGTCACAAAGGAGGAAAAGATGAGGGTTCGCCTTTGAAATCTGTTAAAGACCTAAAGCCTAGCCCTCCACCCTAAAAAAAAAATAATGAATAAAAATAAATAAATACAAAAATTAATTGAAAAAAGTTAAAAATAAATAAATACATGAAAAAAAATGAATGAACTACTATAATAAAGAAAAAAAAAGAATAAACTACTACAATAAAGAATTTTTTTAATGAATAAATAAGCCTAAGAGATAGGGATTTTAATTCATAGTGCGCAGCCCCGACAACACAGAAAAGGGGCGTAACTACGCAAACATAATACGGCCCAAATCTTAATGCGGCATTGAATAGTGCCCCTTTCTCGCGTATAAAGAAGTTTGCTGTACAAAAAAACAGGAGGAAAAATCTTTTTACTATTTCTTTTTAATTTGAGTATAATTTGGTTGAGTTAAAAGAAACATGATCAAAAACAAAATATAAAAACTAAAAAGCGAATTTATTGTAGGAAAGAGGGAAACAAAACAGAGCGAAAGAAAAGTAAGGTCTTCCAGGAGCAAGGGTCCTCTAAACACCTTTTACTCAGGGCTAAACAATCAAAGACATGTACACAGAACAAATTTTTGTTTTACTTTTATTGTTTTTCTTACTTTATTTAAGTTAACAAAAATCGCCATCGTGTCACAGTAAGCAGCATGAGTTCACTGAACAATAAACGCACTATTGAATCCTCAAGCAATAGATCTAATAATTAGGGATAAAACAAGGGTAGGTTAGATTTTTAAAAAAATCGAATGGCAATATTTGCACAATTGCTTTGCTTTGGTTAAATTGTTGAAGAAGAATCTAATTATAATTAGTGCAATTGAAAAGAATAATGTTTTCCTTTCTACTTTATTTATAAAAAACAATTCATTTACTTCAAAACAGAACCCATTGATTCTCGCTGTCCTGGTATAGATCAAACGTCTGTTTCATTACCAAAAAAAAAAAAAGAATTTTTTAAAAAAACGTTCATCTACGAAAGGATCAAGTCAAACAGGCGAAGAGTCTCAACCCCCTCCCCCCTCCCCCTTCCCACGGCAACAAAAGCATTTTCTAAAAACATTACGGACAATAATTTTTTTTAAAACCCATCTAAGTTAAAAATATTTCGTATCGACTTTGAACGACAGTCATCCGCTCCGTAGTCCAGCATGATGCCATTGAGCTAGTAGTGAGCCCTCCAACAACTGACCCGAAGTCCCTTGACCAGCAGAGTAATTAGGCACACGGTGGACACTGTGACGTAGGTGTTCGGGCACCATCGCTGGAACAGGTGAGCTGGAGAAAGAAAGGTAAAGGTGTCGATGATTCGAAACGTAATATACAGCAATAATCTTTGTGAAATGGTGAAATGGTGAAATAGTATAGTTTTAGTATTACGCCCGTGTCAACAGTTTTGGTTATTTAAGAGGCGGGACCTCTCGAGTTTGACGTCCATCTTCGAAAGGACAGAGCCAAAATGAGAAATTCATGTAAGTACACAAACATCGGACCAAGCTGAAGCTTGAACATCTGAATCTGTAATCTCACGATTACGGGTCTAGTAGCCTAACCACTAGGTTACCGACGCCACCGAAATAATCTATTAATTAACTGTGAGACTCCAGTTTATTATGTTCTCCTAAAAAGTTTAAGAACATAAAGTTACTACTTATTTAAGAATATTATGTAACAGGGGTGTGCAACAAAAAAGCAGATCAAGAGGAAACCTAACAGCAGGAAAGTAATGATAGAGTAAAAGAAATGAGTCGTACACACAAAGACAAGAAATAACTAAAAAGCGAAAACACCCTGTTTCTAACGTGTATTTACTTATATCAATAATACATGACGTTAGGTCAGAATAAACGAATAAGAGTTTTACTGCACTTTCAACAGAATTAGGTCATAAAAGCGCCGAGGTTTTGATGTGTTACAAGAGAGTACCAGTAGCATACACAAATTCTGACATTGTGATAATAAGTTAGTGGGTTTTTTTGGGTTTTTTTAAATTTAAAAAAATTTTTTAAATATAGTTTCAGATAAAAATAGTTGGCATCGCTCAATATCGATGGGTATTTTCATGAAAGTATCGAGCTTCTGTCATATACACAAATACAAATCTTTTTCATCTAGAACCTCGTAAAATTTATTGCTAACGTGTGAAGGAGTAGAAGAGTCTGTCGTGAACTTGAAGGGTTTCCTTTGTTTAGCTGTAGTCAATTAAGACGCGTCAAAAAAGGGACCTGCTGGCAGAAAAAAATTAAAAGAAAACTAGCTTCCTAAACATTGCTTCTCACAACAGTTGAGACCTGGAAAGATAATGAGCAACAACACCCCGAGATTGATTTTAAATTGCGTAGAGGCTGTGTGTTAATGTTTCGGTTTATGTTTTAATCGTAGCTTTTGTTTTTTAGTAAGTGTTTTACGGCGCTCGCAACTATGCATAATGTCATATGAGAGTGCGGGAAACATTAATTGCCTGTTGGCTACACTATTCTGATAGCACAAATGGATCTTTAACCTGTGCAGCTTGCACACAGAGCCTCCCAAGAGGCTTTGCCCTTACCCGCAAAGGGTAAGTGTTAGATCTTACTTACCCTAAGATTAGGGAAGTGGTTGAAAGACAGTAGTAGGAAGCCAAGGACTAACAGTAGAAAGGCAGCAGAAAGAGTCGGGAGCGCAGAGGAAGGGGGGGGGGGGGATGGAGATGAAAGCAGACGACAGAAACGGTTCACGAGCAGGGAAGGAGATTAAAGAAAAATTTAGAGAAGAAAACTTTAGAGAAGAAACTTTTCCGTCGTTGACAAGTTTCGGACCCGGGACCTACTTGAGAGGCGAATATCGTAACCTCTAGACCACGAGAGCACCTAATCTAAGCAACGTTAGTTTCTGTCACTAGCAAGAGCCACGGATGAGTTTGTCACAAGGAAAGTTGATTGCTGTTGATTCCGAAAAGATAAAATTTCTCCACAGACAACAGTTTGGAGATGCACCACAGTGGGATTTAAATTGTTTCTAACGATAGATTAGAACCCAACATTACTATGTGAACCAAATTGGTGAAATGGTATAGGTTTAACTCCCCTATCAACACTATTAGGCGGGACCTCCAAGTTTAACGTCCATCTCCGAATGGACCGAGCAAGATGTGAAAGTGCCTTTCCAAAGGACACAACGTTGGACTGAGAGGAGGCTCGAACCCCTTTGCGAACCAAGACAACATAATCACGGCGCAGAATGAACGACAAGATCGACACAAAAAACATATAGCAAGAGGAGCGCTAAAGAGGAAATCAACTTAGGACCTGAACACCAAACCAAGCATACTTGTTTGCTCTGAATTAATGAATCACAAACAACGGATGAACAAAGGTGCAGCATAATATGTGTTCAGAACGTTATGTGCCGGGCTCGTCTAAAGACCAGACCACCGTTGGCAAAAGACCCAGAGGAAACTTGAATAAGGTAACCAGCAATGCAAAGAAGCCGGAAGAACAGCCACAGATTGCATAATTTTTGGTAACGATCCATCACTTATTATTATCATGTTTTCTTCTGGACCACTGGATAAAAGTCTACTTCCGCCCTCCACTCGAAAATTCAATTGATCAACTTACGTACATCGAGGTTTCCGCTCTCTGTGGAGCCCATGTAGGTCGTGGTGACGTCATACAAGATTCTAGTAACAAGGAAAAGGGTAGGGGATGGGGGTGAGGTGGGGGTGGGGGTGGGGGGAGATCATGTAGACTTTTCCTGTTGTGTGCACTGACCCTCACGCCAAACGATTTTCTTGGCCAGGTACTCGTATCTCATGTAAAGAGGAAATGACGTCAGTACCACAAGACCGTTCACAAAGCCGAGACAAGCAGCCAGGGTCAACAAACTGCCGACGTCACTTCTTGACACGTGCAGTTGATTCGTTACCACCATGAAGATGGCAGCCAAAAGAACTGGTCATTGGAGGAAAATCAATCACGTGATTAAGAAAATGAATAATTAAAACGTAAGGAGCACAAAAAACTAACTAAAAACAACAACAACTGAGACTTTTTAAAAAAGGCGACTTTAACGTCGCTACCAAAACTGCTAGGTTAATTAAGAGGTGGGAACTCCGAATTTAACCTCTTTGATAACACACCTTTAGTTTTAGTAAGAGTTTTACGGCACTTACAACACAATAAGGTCGCATAAATGCCGAATATTGGAGGTGTTACAAGAGAGAGAGACAAATATAAAAAGGAGGAGATTAAGACGATAGTTTTTTTAATAGGAAAGAAGGAGCAAGCCACACCAGAGCACACGCCAACTACCCACGTGTTAAAGATTAGACCTGTTATTAGAGATAAGGACGTCACCACCACCCCAATAAATAAATAAATAAATAAATAAATAAATAAATAAATAAATAAATAAATAATTATAATTGATTAATTAATTAATTAATTAATTAATTAATTAATTAACAGATAAAGAGAGAAAGTAACAAAAAATAAAACAAGACAAACAAAAACTGAACAAATCATCTCTTCAAAATCAACCAATTAAAAAAAATCATTTCCATCGACATAATCTATATCTAGGAGGCGAGAAGCATCTGCCCTGTCTGTTATGGCCATCCTTGGCTTAGATGGCTGCAAAAGTCCAAAGACGAAGGTAAATATTCAGTCTTTATACACAGACATGGAGGTTAGCCGCTAAGCAGGCGCGAACTAAATGGGAGATGGTCGTGGAGAGTAGATGAGGACCCTGGTGGCACAGGTGCTTCAATTAATACCTCACACACTCAAAGAAGGGACCATCTTGGCGATGGGAGGCGCCAGAAATCCTACCAAAGCACCTTTGCCCTGTTGGTTATCAGTTGATGACAGAGGCAAGCAAGGAAAACTGTACACAAACCGGGCAGTAGGCAAAGGGAAACCAACGCTGTAATATCCCAAGAATAATCATGGTAAAGAAAAAGAACATTCATTTATTAGATAACAGCGTTCAGGGGGTTCATGATCCAGATCTGAACTCCCCGCTCGGTAGGGACCGCCACGGGTAGCAAGTGGCGCACTATCGTCATCCAGCTACTGGCTGAAAAACTAGAATTAAACAACTCGAATCCAACATTGCCACATGCGGGTAGGCCCAGAGCGACCTACTTAGGGAATCTAAACAAAGGGGTAACGGGGAAAGATCAGGGAACCGTAGTATTTTTAAGAGCATCCGAGCAAAGGAATTAATTGGAGAACCATGATCGCTGATGTCTGTCGCACATCTGGCACTGGATACACGTGAATCGAACTCAAGTCTTCTGCGCAAGGCAGGGTAGCGCCTAATCACTACACAACAGACGCTGGTTTGTATGAGTAGAGAAGCACATCGACATGTTCATTTAGTGCTGGGGAAAAGTGAAAATGGTGAAATGATGAAATGATATATGTTTAACGCCCCTATCAACAATTTTAGGTTATTAAAGAGGTGGGACCTTCGAGTTTAACGTCCATCCCCGAAAGGACCGAGCCACGAGGGAAATTCGTGTAAAGTGCCTCTCCCAAGGACACAAAATTGGACTGAGCGGAGGCTCGAACACCCGAACTTGCAATCGCACGATTACGAGTCCGGTAACTGACAACTACGCCGTCGACACCTCTGCGAAAAAAAGAGACAAAAACAACAGAGGGAGAGTAAAGAAACAGGATCTTCCACACGTAACAAACGCTAGTCAAAGTAAAAAAAAACAAAAAAAGAAAAAGATAACCAACCTGGAAGGAGAGAGACTGCAAAGAAGTTGAACCACGTGACTTCTAATTGAAGCCACACCAAGCAGGACGCCACGGCCCAGAACAAAGTTCTCCATCTATTGGCCGAGCTGGGATTCGAGCCGAAATATCCTGGCACAAACAGCGGGCATTTTGAGCTGTATAGTAGCCACTGTAGAAACTTCAGCATAATGTTGACTGCCGGATGTCACAGTAATAAAAAACTGCCTAAATCATTGTTGTTTTGAAAATGAAGTACTGGTAATATATATGAGTGTAACACCCCTATCAACACTTTTAGGTTATTTAAGAAGCGGGACCTCGAAATTAAACGTTTATTTCCAAATATATAAATCCAAATTAAATAGGAAATTTACGTAAAGTGCCTTTCTCATGGACAACGTCGAAAGTCCGAAATGAGACTCAAATTCCTGAACCCCGCAATCTCACGATGACGGGTCTGGTAGCCTCACCACTAGCTAGGCTACCGACGCCACTGTGTTTTGAGATAGTTGGAAAAAGTCAGCGCCTAGGCCTGCCGAAGGCAGCTCTATAACTTGACAAAACTGAAAAGTAAATTCGCTAAATAATTAAGATTTTTAATACACGAAACAAAACCAAACAATATACTGGTATTTTTAGTACAAAAGTAGCGTTACAAGAAACTTGAAAAATAGTAACATTATAGGCAATCATGTAACATTATGTTTGTGATAAAATGTAGAATACAAAATCTGCCATGATGTGGTAAGTTGCAGCCTCTATTACGGTAAATGTTCTTATCAAAACCTTTAATCATCCATCTTTTTTAAATGTATAATATGTGTACGTCCCCATCTACACAATATAGCCAATCCGGGCTCAGAATTAGAAAGATACAACATCCAGGTAGAAAGACGGAGTTCTCGATAAAAATCCTCCAACATCAGGAATAAAACTCCTGGTCTCATGCTTGTCACATCGAAGCTCCTAGCCCTCTAGACTCTAGATTCTACACCACAAAATGTAACGCAGTTTTAAAACAAACAAACTTATTTTTACTTTTCTGTCCTCTTATACCATGAGGTATTTGTGGAAATGCACTTTTATTGTAACCCATAAGCTCAAAGATCTGCGCAATGTGACTGTGGGGAAATCACACTAAATGCACCACCTCTATGTGGACAGCTGTTTATCAATGAGGTCAATACGTTCTACTTACTTTTTCTCACTGCACTGCAATAATGTTTATGAATGAGACAGGAAAGTTCAAACCTTTCCTTTCAAAAACCGTGCAAAAAGACGCACGATTTCTGGGCTGCACATTTGTTTCTTTCGTTAATATAAAAGACTAAACACGTGTGAAAGCAGTAGAGAAAGTCTTTATACAGGAACAAATATTTGATTTTTACTTAACGGACGCTGAGTGATCATGTGATCGCATTTAGGTTTGGGACAGAAATTTGAGATTCTCTATTAAGGAGAGATAATTATAGGTCAAACGTCTCACCCTCTGAATCATAATTCCAGTTTCTCATCTCAGTGTTTCTTTCATCATGATTGACTACAAAAAGCTAATTTTCTTGACGTTTTAAGTTTGGAAATGATTAAGACTGCTGTCTTTCCTAAATGGATGAGAGCTGCTCGTGTGATCTTAAATTAAGAGAAACCCACAAAAATACATGGCTCCTTTAATGTATTTTTAGTAGAGGTTTTACGGCGCTCGCCAGGTCACATGAGCGCAAAGGGGTGGATATCAACAGAGCAGGCCTTACAGGGAATCGGGCTTACTCTGCTCACCTCTCTAGCTTCAACAGCACTCCTAGTCTGCTTCGACTATCAAGGCACACCACAAATAACGGGTCACAAGAGTGTGACAAACATATAAAAGAAGGAGAGGTAAGATAGCCATAGTAAGGATTAGGAAAGAAAAAGCAGCAGTTCTCTGTTGCATTTCAGGCACAGTTATGAGCATAACATTGATGAATCAGCCCATCAATTCTACTGTGCATAAGAACATGGCTAATGCCGCCCCCCCCCCCTTTGGGAATGGCCTAAAGACACTTTAGTCAGTTGCACCGCCCCGAGGGATTGTCCCTTTAATAAAGTTTTGTTGGCTACCAGACCATTCTAATGAAGGAAATACTCAAGGCAAGATGCGGGGCAAAAGGACCAAAAGTGGAGAAAAAAAATGGAACGATAACATGGACGGGCCTAAATATGACAGTGTATAATAACGGCAGCTAGAGACACCACTGGTGGGTCAATGCACGTGAACTCCTGAGCCAGAGATGACACCAGGTCTAGGATACAAGTTAAAACTAGAATCAGGTCACAGAATTTTTACTTGTATGTCGCAAATGCAGGGATAGCAAACATAAAATATCTTAAAAACCTTAAGTGTTTATGTACCAACAAGACATTTGAAATCAACGGATAAGAATCTTATGAAGTCTCATGTTGGGTGGAAGAGTTTTTTTCGTAAGTCCCAAAAATGTGTAATTCCCTCACAAAAGAAAATGAGTATATAAAAAAAGGTTAGAACGATTCCCTCTTTGGATTTGCTATAAATGAAAACAATTTTTTTAAAATAAAAAAGGGATACTACACTACAAATTAGCCTACTGGCAAAGGCCCCGCACAACCACAATAATAAAAAGATTCGTTTTAGTACGATTTTTGCGACACTTGCAACACAATTTGGTCACATGAGTGCCGAAGATCAGGCATAACTTAAAAGTATCATACAAAGAAAATAATTAAGATCAATAAAGACAACAGATGATAGTTTAAAACAGAACAAACCACACTACCGCCCCCGCTAGGCCTAACCAACCACACAAAAAGATTCGTTAAGCCCAAACTTTTAGTATCGCTCTCACAAAGCTCTTTAGCCTTGTAAATACGGAACTGATGCAGGCATCGAGAAATGACCAGAGTAGAGTAATTTGGGTAAAGAAAAGCACATCAACACAAAGGTCGTTTAGTGCTGGGAATCAAGTAAGACAGACGGAAACATTATAGACGAATGATGGGTTGGTGATTATATTTAGTGCGAACTAAGAGGAAAATGTAAAAATCAATATACTAATAATTATTTTTAAAAACAAATAAATAAATAAATAAATCAAGCTTATTATAAAATTAAAAAGGAACCCCATTGTTTGGGTAAAGAGATTGGTTGATCGACTGACTTTATCTGTATGACAACATATCGAAACAAATGTTAGTTTAGAGAAGAATATCACAACAC